AGGCTCTGACACCCCCTCCTCCTCCAGGCTGCGTCCCCCAGGCCCTCCTGGACGAACTCCTGGCCCCAGAGCTCGGCGATGCAGGCTCTGACACCCCCTCCTCCTCCAGGCTGCGTCCCCCAGGCCCTCCTGGACGAACTCCTGGCCCCAGAGCTCGGCGATGCAGAGGTGGCGGAGACGACCCCAAGGCCTCGCTGCGGCGGTGAGGGGAGTGTTGAACCGGAGCCCCCCTGCACTCACTATTGAACCCCACTGCCCTCCTGGAGCTGGGAACAACCCCCCACTTCCATCCTGAGCTGGGGGGAGAGCCCCGGCATCTGGGGAGCCCCCCCAGCCCCCTCCTATGCCTCTTGCATGGGGTGCCGGGCTGCCCCTGGCTGGGGGGGGGCGCTTTTTGGGGTGCACCTGAAACCTGGCCCTGCTCTCCCCCCCAGGTGGCCCTGCTCCGGCGCTGCCCCCCAAGAGGAAGGCATGGGGGGCACCCCCCGGCTGTGGGAAGCGGTAGGTACCCTCTGGGGTGTGGGAGGGGGCTGGGCGGTTGCAAAACCCATCAGCTTCTCCCCCCTGCAGGAGGCTGGAGACCCCTTCGAGGAGCCCCTGGGGGCAGGTATGGGCCAGGAGGGGGTGGTTCCTATTTGGGGATGGACCCCCTCAGACTAAGCCGGACCCTGCTTCCTCCCCAGAGCCGGCGCCAGAACCCAGGAGTCTGGGCTGGGACCCCGGGCAGGAGCCCCCCAACGGGATGCAGCAGGTGAATGAGAGGAGACTCCCCCTGGCTGTTGTGAAGGGGCTATGACATGTGGTGGGGCAGGGTGGGTGGGTGGAACCCAGGTGTGTCTTGGTGCAGCTTTAAAGGGGCAGGCACCAGCCCCAGAGCTGGCCCTGACCCCATTTCCAACCCCCAGCTCCCTGCCAGTGATGATAGTCTTCCTAATATCCAACCTCAACTTTCCTTGCTGCAGCCTGCGCCCATTGCTCCTTGGGACACCTGGGTCCCGGAGCCCAGCAGCTGGAGCCAGATGAAGAGGATGGTGGCCGAAGCCCTGTGCCCCCGCTATGGTACGACACCACCCCATGTCCCAACCCAGAGCGGGGCGCAGCTGCGTGCCAGGCCTGGCTGACGGGGGGGGTGTCTATTGCAGGGCCGAGTGGAGACCTCCTACCCGAAGACCGGGCCGCCCCCCCTGCACCGGCGGCTGCGGCGCTCCCTGAGCTGGCCAGAGGACTCGAGGCGCCCCGTGGCCCCCACTCTCCCCTCCCCGACCCGGGTGCCTGAGGTGGGCCCATGCCTGTGCAGCTCCTGGCGCGGCCGGCGCTCCCGCAGCCATGAGTGGCCCCAGGGGGCCGGGGCCAGGCCCCGCTGTGTGCGGGGGGTCCTCCGGGCCTGTGGGCGCCTCCTGGCCTGGCGCCGGGGTCGCAAGCCCTGGGCCCCCCCCAGCTGGACAGGCCTGTGGGGGTCTGTGCCTGTGACAATGCAGGGGTCCTGTACGTTCCCAGTGTGACCGGCGGTGGGGGCGGGATGCAGTTCCCTTGAGTTTTAGCTTGATGTGTCCAGTGGTGCTAATAAACTCTGGGGTTTCCACCCCAAAAGTTGCTTTTAACTCCTTCCTTGCCTGTGCCCCAGCTCTACCCCTGCAGTCTTGGATCTGTGCCCCCTCCCCTGGGGAGAGGGGCATGATCCTGGCCAAGGAGGGTGGGGGTCCTTGCAGGATCATGCCCCTGCAAGGAGGAGCCATTGGGTTGGGGGGGAGTGGGGGGCTTCTAGCACCTGCCCTTGGGTGGGGGCTGTGTGGGGAGGGGGCCAGGCCTGGTGCCCTCCTGTCGTGCACTAGGCCCTTGGCTGGGTGCTTGGTGGCCCTGAGCAGCCTGGGTGTGATGCCGCAGCCTGTTCGTGCGTGCGTGCAAAGGTCACTATTGTGGCCTAGTGCAGGGGTGGATGGGTGTGGAGGGTGTGTGTGACTACTGTTATCAGGTGCAGAGAGGGTGTGTGGGGGCAGGGTGGGGGGTGGCAGTACTGCCACGTGCAGTATGCGTGTGTTCAGGTGGGTCAGTGCTGTTATCAGGTGTCGGGTGTATGTACATGTGCATGTCTGGGTGCAGGGGTCACTGTTGTGCATGTGTGTGCATGCATGCATTGCACAGGGACAGGCTGGGCAGCAGCTCTGCAGAGAAGGACCTGGGGGTGACGGGGCAGTAAGCTGGACAGGAGCCAGCCGTGTGCCCTGGGGGTGAGGAAGGCTACCGGTGCCCTGGGCTGCGTTGGCAGGAGTGCTGCCAGCTGCTCCAGGGCAGTGATTCTTCCCCTCTATTCTGCATGGGGGAGGCCACATCTGGAGTCCCGTGTCCAGCTGTGGGCCCCCCGCTGCAGAAAGGATGCGGACACATTGGAGAGAGTCCAGCGGAGGGCAATGCAAATGGCACTGGGGCTGGGGAAGAGACTGAGGGAAATGGGCTGATTTAGTGTGGAGAAGAGAAGACGGAGGGGGATTGAATAACAAGCAGCCTTCAGCTCCCTGCAGGGGGGCTGCAAAGAGGATGGAGCTGGGCTGTTCCCAGTGGGGGCAGACGACAGGACGAGGAGCAATGGGCTCAGGCTGCAGCAAGGGGAGTTGAGGCTGGATCTCAGGAAAACCTTTTCCTGCAGGAGCGTGGGGCAGCGCTGGAAGAGGCCCGGGGCGGCGGTG